GCACAGCACCTGCCTGGCAAGCGCAAGGTCGTAAGTTCGATTCACAGTACAAAAATAATAATAATGATGATAATAATAGCCACAGTTAAAAAAGAAAGAAAGAAAGAAAGAAAGACACCTCAAAGAACAAGGAGAAATACATATATTGGGCATCTGGCTCTCTAACTAAAAACCATCATAAATGCAATGAAGCAAATTATCTCAGTAACTACGAATTCTTTGTAAAGAAGGCCTATAACTGATCAATACAGAGGCCCCTTATTATGTTGTTTTTGGAAGCTTTATTCAGGCAAAAAGCAAAGTTGTTCATAAAAAGTGGTTAGAATTATTATCATTTAGCTCACAAAGTTATTTATGTCCATGCAATTGGGTTAAAACAAAACAAGAAAAAACAAGTCCTTTGGGGTAGCAATGACCAGTTACAAACTTGACAAGTCTCCTGAAGAAAATGCCCTGGCAGAACTGCCAGTGCTGGCCTGTTCCTTAGATAACAAAGAAATAGACTATGAACTAAAATGTATGCTATCCTCGATTTCAGACCCAAACTAATGCCCTGATGGCCACTGATATTTTAAAGTCATGAAATAAGATTACCAGTGTTAAAGTGGATTTGAATACTCAAAAACAATATGAGCAAATCTTATCACTCACATCAAAATTACAGACCACTAACCAGATGCGGTAGTACACACCTATAATCCCAAACCTTGGGAGGCTGAGGCAGGAGGAGTATGGTAAATTCCAGCCCAGCCTAGGTTACACAGTGAGTTCAAGGGCAGCCTGGAATACATAGTGATACCCAGTTCCTCTCAATCAGTCAATATTAAAGGCTACTACTCTGGGCACTGAGACAGGAGGTTTGGAAGTTAAAGCCCAGCCTGGGCAATTTAGTGACATAATAATAAACTATCACAAAAAAGAACTTACAGACTACATATTTTAGATCACAATCGCATGGTAAGCATATCAAAATGCCTGCAGAGAATTCAAGAATCACACGGCATTAGGAAATATTCCTGACAAGCTTAACTCAGAGATTTCTTAGGAATAGGAGGAAGGAAATCAAAAAAATCTGCATACCATCTTGTATAATATGAATTTGTTTAAAATTAAGATGATAAACTAAAGGACAAGATAGAAGGCTAGTTATTTAAATTAATTTTTGAAACTGTTAAACTCAAGGTGCACACAAGAAAAGGTCACACTGGTAAACTTTAAATGTGGGGCACAAAACCAACATAACATAAAAAATACAGAGGTGATATCTCAACAAAACACCACAACTTGCCTTTCAGTAGAAACAAGAATAATTTCAAATAATTTGGTAGGTTAGATAATGTTTAGAAGTGTCTAAGGAAAAAAGAAACGTTATAAGATGAAGAGATTTTTAAATATGGAAAGAGAAAGATTTGTACATTTTGTTATTGATACATATAATGTTATACCATTTTATATATTGAGAATAAGTCTACCTTTTCTTTTCTTTCCTTCTTTTGTGACAGGGTCTCACCATGTTACACAGGCTAGCTGTTGAATTCCTGGTCTCATGCATCCCTCCCAGCTCAGCCTCTCAAGTACCTGGGGACCACAGTACATGCCATTTCGCCCAGCCAAGGGTGAATCTACTTTAAAACATGTTTGGCTGGACACAGTGGCATACACCTATAATCCCAGGGAGGAGGATTGTAAATTCAAGGCCAGCCTGGGCAATACAGCATCTCAAAAAATAAAAGGGCTGCATATGTACTGCAGCAGTAGAGTGTTACTTAGCGTCCACCTTTCCCACAAGGTCTTGGGAAACAAACATGTATTTTTGTCCCTGGTCCACCCCCCCCACCCCCCACCCCCGTACTGAGGAAGATGTTTGTTCCTCATGTCTACCACTTGAACACAATAAATACAATTTGGATCCTCAACAAACATTAAGAGGCCGGGCGTGGTAGTGCACATCTGTAATCCCAGCACTCGGGAAGCTGAGGCAGGAGGATCACTGTGAGTTCAAGCCCAGCCTAAACTAAACAGAGTTCAAAGCCAGCTTGAACTGCAACATGAAACCCTGTCTCAAAAAGACAAAAAAAAAAAAAAAAAAAAAAAACTACAAATATATTGGCCTTTAGCCCATAAAAAAAGAAATGCGATAAAGACTTTCATCTATTTGCTTCGTCTATTTCCAGACAGCTAAAGTTTCCAAGCACTAACAGACAATTGGTAGACTCAGCAGGCTTTTTAGCTCTGTGTAGAATGAAAACCAAAAAGTTTACTTATTCTAGCACTAGCCCCAGTGGTAAGACATCTAGGACTCAAATTCTTTTAACAAACATCAGTTAAAGAAAACTTAACTGGTCATCCCTATTAGTGAAGCTCAAGGAAAACTCAAAACAAAACAAACCAAAAACCTATCAACTTCCTGCTAAAGAGGTCACTTTTCCCCACACTTCAAATTACCATCATATGGAACATACCTAAGGTAAGAATAGAAAACACTCAGGAAAAATATATGTCACAAACTATGGACAGAACTGCATGATCAAAGCATGGATTACTATGCAGTTCTATTTGGTTGGAGAATGTAATAAATAAAAAGATAAAGGATAAAAGGTAAATTAAAGCCTGGTGTGGTGGTACATGCCTATAATTCCAGCACTTGGGAGGCTGAGGCAAGAGGATCGCTGCGAGTTCCAGGCCAGACTGGGCTATAAAGTGAGTTCTAGGCCAGCCTGAATTGCATAGTGAAACCCTGTCTCAAAAAGATAAAAAAAATCACTTCTCAGAGGCTGGGGATTTAGCTCAGTGGCAAAAGCGCCTGCCTGGCAAGCGCAAGGTCGCGAGTTCGGTTCCCGTGTACCGGAGAAAAACCAAAAAAAAAAAAAAAAAAAACACTTCTCAGCCTTTTGGCTAAGATCAAGTGTAGTATCAAAAAGATTAAAAAAAAAAAAAAAA